GTCTAAGGCAACTCGTTCTGCAAGTTTCAATAGTGCAGAAGAGCAGGCAATTATACCAAAGGATTTTGGACCAGGAGAGGAGAGTTTTTCGGGATGCTTCTCACTGATCTCCACTCATCGGGAATCTTAGACTCCATGAAGGACAAGTTGATGAGGTGTGTCAATGCAGGGGCTAACTGAAAAGAACAGGGTTTCAGGAAAAACGGTGAGATCCCATCTGGCCCGGCAGCTTTTGAACCTCGAACCTTTTTAAAGATATTTCATCACTGTTTCCACAGACACAGGAACAAAAACACTTGGTAATAATGAAATGGCGTTTGTCGGAAGATGGGAGTCAGTGGAAGTGTGAATGAAGTTTGCATTTAAACGATTTAAGTCTAAATCACCATCTAAATGTGCCAGTGTATTGCGTTGACCAGTGAGACGCTTAAGACTCTTCCAAATTTCAGCCGAGGAGGGAGGAGGGGAAGATGTAGAAGAAGTAAAAAGCTGACTAACAAAAAGGTCGTTCAGCCTGCAAATCTTACACTTTATTTGGACATTCACAGCCTTTAGTCTATCTCGTAGACCCAGTTTGTAGAAAAATTCTTTTTGGCGTTTCAAACTTTTTAGATGAGAAGAAGAAGTTCTGTCAGGTTTAACCAAAACTGTGTCAAGAGGACAACATATAGTAAAAATTTCATTTGAAAAATTTGTAAGAAAATTGTAGCACGACTCGACGTTCGAGTGTTCAAGAAATGCAGGAAGGTTTTCAGATAAGTAGGTCTGAAGGAAAAATATGTTCTGCAGGGACGTGTCACGAACCTTAAGTTTCCTGTCGGATAGTCAGCTGATGAAAATATTTGATGCAATTGGCTGAAAAAGCTAAATAATCCATCGGCGTTTGCTGATGAACGTTCATTGTTCACATCAGAAACTCACTTGTCCCATTCCGTCTTGAGGCTCACTCTTCAGCCTCGCCAGCAAAGATTAAGGAAAGCATTGGACTTCTGATGTATATTTCGTGGGTTGAAGCATCGGCTGGGCCACCATCTATGTTTGACTATGGCTGGCTGGTGACAGGTAATGGGCCAAAACTGGCCACTCCAAACTCTCCCGTGTTTGTTGGCAATGCTTAATCCGTCTACGCTCGCGACACACGACCAGACTCCACAAAATATTCCAGCTTTCCGCACAAAGCGGTGGGTTGTTTGAATTAAAAATCCACCGGTCTGACACTGCAAACTAAAACGCACATAGAACTAACTGCGCATTCTGAAATATATCCTCAATTGGCCAAATTCATATCCATAGCTTTATGCCCACCGTGATAGTTTTAAGTGCATCAGTGCTTTAAAGAGGGGTATATGCACTTCGTTCAAGTCAGGTATACACGCATAATGAGCAAACGTAGTGCGAGCATCGGAAAGGACTTAATCTGGTTGGGCTCCCAGTGGTTGACTTGATCTTTGCAGCTGAAGGTCAGTCACGTCTACCATGCTGGATAATGTCAAGGGATTATCGTCTGTGCAGATTCGCACCGTGGTACTGCTTATGTAATCTTTTCTGTTAAAACGGTTTTTGCCATTTCCACCGACCTATCACTTTGCGCAAGAACCCACTGCTTTTAAATCAACCCAAAATGGAAGTCATGTCATTAGGGATTTTTCTACCGAATCCCTGTTCACCTCCAAGTTTCATGTAAATCGTTGTTTTGAAGTATTTTATTGTAGTTGTTTGGTTAAGTTCAGTTGCTGTTGGTTCTCCTAACTTTTAATTTATCTGAATTAGTGCAGAACTTCAAGCTGGAATATTCAAATACCTCCACACACACAAATCTGCCCGCCTTGGTACATGCAATAACAACGAAATGAAATACGGGCAGCACTATTGGCTTTGGGAGAGGTCTGTGGGAAGGCCGTCATTGAAGAGCCAATCACACCGAGCGGTCACTTGGGATTAGTTCGTCTGGACCAATGGGAGTCGTCGTGCCCGTAGTTCGGTCAAAGGCTTGCGCCCGCAACTTACAACAGCATTTCAGCAAAGCGTGGGATTCTGGACTGCTCTCCTGGAACGCCGGTAAACTAAATTTCGCAGACAAGATGAATACGTACCTTGGCTGTGTAAACACAGAACCACGACGACCGCATATAGGACACTCCAAACCCGTCGGAAATAATATTGGCCAGCAACAGCCCACCTCAGCGAGCGGCGGTGGCCGACTTCCAACGAACCTAGACAGACTGGCGTCGGCATTCAGCGCTCACGCTGAGGCCACAGACAGTGGCGCCGGTCACGCTAATAGCAATCAAACGGTGGAAGTAAACTTGAAGAGGCAGGACCAGGAAAAACCCTGGGGCATCCGCATTCAAGGTGGACGTGATTACAACCTCCAACTGACTGTAAAAAAGGTAGGTTATATACTGTCGCCGTGGATAAAAGATTTATAAGTCTTCTGTTATTAACTTAATGAAGGAGCTCACGGAATAATAATCAAAATGCTTGAAAAGGTTTTCGATAGGGTAGCATTACCTTAGTGGCGTCGCTATAGTTAAAATGGTGCGGCTTAATGTGACAATAATAAAGATATGCAAAGATTCCGCTTTTTGAGAGCATGTCATTTATTAACACTTATGTGCGTTCGGATACGATTATGGCTTCAGGTATACTTTATCACAAACCTAAGCAAAAGTATTATTTCACGTTGTATTAGTAGTAGTAGTAGTAGTAGTAGTAAAGATGCCATTCCCAGGTGGTAATTTAGAATAAGAAGCCGAAAGAGCGTTCACTGACAGAGGTTTATTTTGTATCTGACGTTTCGAGTTGTTAGCTCGTATACCCATTTTTAGAGAATGGAGACTCCGGCTCATGTTTCTCGCTGTACGTCGTCCATTTTTTCTGCTTATTCGTACTGAGACGCTTTGTGTGTGTCTCACATTTCGCTATTACTTTTTTCGGCCTCCTTTTTGATCCGAGGCAACCTCCAAAATCCGGCATCCCGGCTGAAAGCCCCTATCCCGAACCAGGATAAATCAGGCGTTTTCTGCTGACTTCACTTGAGTTGTGGGATTCGCAGCTATTTTGGAGAAACCGGCCAACAGCTACAAACGTGAATGCGTAAATATGAGCTGGCTGTGGGAAGGTTGGATCCAAAGTCGGAGGTAGCAAACCATGCTGCAGAGCTCGAACACGTCTTCAAATTTGACGCCGTTTAAATTTTGGGCCGAGGTGACGATTACACCTCAAAGCAGACTAAAGAAGCGTGATATCAATTGTCTGTTCGGCAAACAGCCACATTAATGTTCCTATGTTGTATTAAGAACCCCCTTATCAGGGGAAAGTCACAAGGCGGAGCAACCGGAGACACCAACTAGCTCTACGGCCAACGCCTATGTGCATAAAACGAGTCAGCATGAGGACGAAACAAACGCTAGCACCACGGTGACAGTCAGAATCAACAAAGAGGCTGATACAAGCGATAGCGAGATGAGAAACACACAAAGAAGCTTAGTCGAGATTGGCAGAAAAGGCATAAGGAAAAAGAGCGACATATAGCGAGAACAATGACTCGGAGTATCCGTACTCTTGAAAATGGGCGGACGAGCCACCTACTCGAGAGTTCAGATACGAAATAAATATCTCCCGGTGAAAAAAAGTCTTCTTCTACTGATTCTTTCATGTGATTATATGATCGAAAATATCTTCTGTACAGGTTTTACTATATCAAGGGTCATCTTTCGATTAAAAAAATTTAATTCAAAAATACTATTAGGCTCGGCCTGATGCTGCAATTGCGTGTAGAGGATGAAATCTACCGGCTGTATGCTTTCGGTATAAGTGAAATCAAATGTTTATTTAAGGCGTTAAAAAGATACCATTACAGTGTTCACAAAAGTCTGGAATCGATGTGGACTATTTTGTGTCTCATGAGGGGCGTTATAAAATATACAGATATTATCTTAGCTGAATGGGCATTTTACAGTCTTATAAAATCTCATAAGTGGGAAATTTCCAAAATCACATACACATTTCCTTTGACTTAAAAAAATTACGAAGCCGTGGTTTGCTCCCAAATGAGTTTAAGAACAAATGTGCTTAATAGTTATATAATATATAACTACAATATAATATATATTATATATATAACTATACATATATAATATATAATATAAATGCTCACGTCGAAGCGTAATATAAAAAATGCATATTATTTGAGTATTCGTTTTGACCGAGTGTTTCGTTTACAGGTGGCTCACCTGACGTACAGTTAAAATCATACCCATTGCTGTGTCTGAAATATCTCCAAATTTGAAAAAGTCAGAATTATGGGAAAATAGTGATAGTTTAAGTTTTGCTCATCAGAATACATTTGTTGGTTTGCTGACGTTTCGAACAGCTGGGGTGGCTGTCCTTTTTCGAAGCATATACTGACTTTATCGATCAACAAATAGTTGCGGCTGTACGTTTTGGCCTTGGACTAATCGGTCTTTCTCCGCACGCTGTTTGGCCATTCGTGTGGATTTTGGCATAGCTTGACGGCACTACGTATGATGCCACTCAAAGCATCATTTTACGAGCCAACATTTCTCTTAATTGCAAATATTTATTACCATGAAATATTGGACCTTCAACTATAACATTTAAAGCAGATACCGTAGCGACAAAATAGAACACAAGCTGCCGTAACAAATAACGCTAAAATTCACACGTAGGGCCAAGCAGCGAGCGAAGAAAGATCAGTCAGCCCAAGGCAAGCACGTACAGCTGCAACTTTAAATTTGCTGATCCGCTTTGACAAAGGACCGCTGGCCCAGCTGTCCGAAACGACAACAAACCGACGAATTTGTTCCGGTGAGCAAAACATGAACTATAAAATATCTTCGGATTAGATTGCAGATTAATCACTTCTGAATTGCTCTATAGACAAGCCTTGCTTGTCGAGAACACGTTTCAGAATGCTGGCTATCATTTTGTGAGAGCGGTTACTGCCTGTAGAATTTGCGAGGTCAGCTCTACAGGTAGGCGATTTTCTGCCATTCGGGAAGCATACAGCATTGCGTTCATTATTTATCGTTGTCAATTTCCAAATAATCAGCTGAGTTCTATAAGACAGGTTAATTTGAGCTTCGCTGTTTTGCTTCCCAACTGATTTGCGTTCAAACAACAAACGTTATTTCGAGAAATTCAAACATTTTGAACTTCGCAGGGATTTACTCACTTATGAGGCCATGTTTTAAAATGTTCAACATTTTCCGTCGATCGCAAAGTATAACCGGGTCGAAAATGACAGGTTTGTAATGAAAGTAGTTAAGAGTCGCTGCTGATTCGACTTGTGTATAGTAGATGGCATGACTCATTAGATGTCAATTGATCTTCTCAAATACGACCTCGGTTACGTTGAAGGTATTTAAGTTTGGTTGCATTGGTGATAATAGAATAACACGATACCAAGATGATTTAATAAAAAAGCTATCAGCCATCTGTGAGGCTGACAGTCACTGAAATGGCTATTCGCGTAGCAGAATTTTTACTTTCTTTCCAATTATTTACGAGTTCGAGCATATCCTTTAGAAAGTAGGCCTTGATATGCCCTTTCTTAAACTCCTCTTGATACAACTACTTCTAAAACAAAGTTACAATTTGAAAATAAGTTGCTTTGTTATTTAATTTACGCCTTTCTGCATAATTTGAGACGCGGGTTGCGTTTTCATTTTCGTTTAAATTTTGTAATTCGCACAGTGTGCATAGTCAGCTTAAGGTTAATCATGTCTTTCTTTAAATTTCTATGACGAGTTTATTCGCTAATTACAATTATTGGCATAAGATATCGATCACGTGTACGTATGATCCCACTCAAATCATTATTTTACTAGCCAGAATATCTCTTAATTGCAAATAGGTATTACTATAAAGCATTGGACCTTCAAATATAAAATTTCAGGCAGACACAAAAAGGAATAAATTAAAATGTTCTGACTTATTTAATCGGAAACAATAAGGTTGAAGTCATAAATAGCAAGCGGCTAGGAAACCAGCATCGCCGAGCGTATAAAATACGCTGACAAGTTACTGCATGCAAATAGTTTTCGCAACAAAACTCCTCTTAACTGAAATCATTTTTAAAAACTTCCTTCGAGGTCAAGTGAGTTAGGTCGCCAACTACTGCCGACTTATTATCACGAAGGTATTTTATAACGCTATTAAGTGAGGTTTTTCGCTCGTAATTAGTTGTATATGCAGCGACAGTTTATTCAATATTTCTTGTCCCTCTAGTATAGGCGACTCACAATCTACATTATTATAAAAT